TTGGGTACACTCGAAGCGACATGTGAATTACCTTGTTTGACATTGTAACTTGAACGGCAAATCATAATTCGTGAGGAAAAAAAAACTTTGGTTAATATTTTGCGACACGACAGAGAACAGATAGATATAGCTCATGAAATATTGATTATACTAATGACCCAGCAGATTTAGCTGATGGAGGCACAATTTCTATCTGGTGGGCGAAGGAAATAACTGTTCTAATTCTCCTCTTATTTCCTGAATATGCAGATTGGATATCTCGTGCGTTTTTGTTTCGTATCTCTGGTAAGGTTATACGTGTTAAATATTTACTGCATGCTGTCTTGATCGCGCTTTAACTTTTTGATCTCGCTTTCCATTTACGTCCAGACAAGTCATTGTAGTTGTCCTTATTCACACCTCAAAAAGAATCATCACATTCGTTACAATATGATGAATCGTCTATCGCCGTGATCCCGAAGAGACGATCTGATCATGTTAAGCAAGCTCACTAAAAACATTATTCCCGGATTCAGAGTACGTCCAGTAAGCAATTTTTTTTATTTTCAAAAAGGGAATCAAACTATTCAGCCAAATCTTTTAGAATAACATATACATAGCACACCGGGAAGGACGGGTTTACGGTACTATACGAATCTATTATATTAACGCTGTATATATTTTCATTTGATAGTTCCGAAATCATGCCGAGTGCACGAATAATAAGTATTCTTCATTACTGGATCACCCATGTAGCACTTCGCAGTACTGAACTGTATTACTTGGACAATGTCGAAGTTAGATTTGAGCATAATCTCCTCGGTTAAGCCGAGTCGAGAGAGAAGCAGTAGGGCTGTGCGGCTGTGTGGCGGGGGTCGACAATACCATCTCTCTCTCTTTATGTGTGTGTGCGAGAAGCCGAGTGAACTGGATAAAAACGGGACTTTCACAGAATTGAAGAATGTTCCCAGTTTGGGAAAACTATTTGGGTTGAATAAGTGACGTAACGCATGTTTGAGTTATTAGTTTCCACTTTCATTAAGGCTCGTGCAAAGTAATCTCAGCATACCCCCCCCCCACTGATGGATCGTTTCAACTGGGCTTTTCTCTGTCATGGTAATAGAGACAATTCGGGGGAAACGTGCTGCCAGTCTTAATGTTGGATGGCGAATTGGAGTGTTTTGGGTGAACTGCATAGTGAGGAGATCTTGTTGAATTATTCGAGCCATACGTTACTTAACGACAAATTACGCGAACGAACGTTTTCATTGGATCGTAATCTGTTATCTTACCACCTAATTAACTAGTCTGTTTGAAGCCTTGGAGATATAATACGGATGCATGGTCTGATTCCACGTTATCTTATGTTCCCGATGTGTGCAAGTACTTTACTCATATTTTGTAAGTCCCACATTCCAATTACTTATCCAAAACGTATAGTGTAAGTTCTCTTACGCTTCCAGTCTATTACATTTAGGCTTTACATACAGATTGATTATTGTTTCAGTCCGCACGCGATGATTTTAGCCATAAAATAACAGCTTACGTAAAAACCATGAATTGCTTAATAATTATAACATGTGATTGACGCAATAAACATTAACGCTAGCAAGATTTTCGTGAGACGCGTATGTTGAAACACATGAATAGCATATATCTAGGTTCGGATGTTTGTGAATAATAATACAAATCTTGATTATATTGCTAAATTACAAACATCGGCATCATACAGTTAGTTTTTATGCAGGTTACCTTAATTATTATATTTATATATAACAAAATTGACTGGCTGATATTGGAATAGCCGAAAATGCCGAGTTAAATGGGTCTTTGGGACGGCTTACATAGTGTTGGCAAAAGTCGTATACATAATTCATGTAAGAAGAAAGATTAAAGATAAACGCGCATTTTGTCACATCCCATTTGTTTTGAAATACAATATTGATTTGTCTTGAAATGTATCAGACACGAGATAGTTAGTGAAAGCTACTGCAAAGACTTGCAAAGGTCAAAGTCCGTAAACTTGTATTTTTATCCATCACTTGTTTAAACAAATTATAGTCTCGCCCTGACGCTCTATTTTTTATTTAGAGCCATCATTCATATCACATTAAAGTTTTTAGTACTGATAATCAAACAAAAAAGAAATTTGTTGTAGCCTCGGCACTAATTTCTTTTGTCAAAAATTATTTCCATATGTGTATTAAACAGTTCATTCTTCTGCGGTACTGGATTTTTAAATGTACTCTGAGCTATATCGATAGGGCAGACTATTTCTCCTTGAATTGCTTCTTTTTCGCATAATTTAACTAATCCCACCATTCAAGCATGTCATGTGACTTACCATGATTTTTACTGGCAGGTGAAATAATCATTCGATATTCGTTTTTGTACCACTGACTGCATGCTTTGATGATGAGGATATTTTTGATTCAGTAGAGCTGCTCACCTGACTTGATTACGAACATGGCTGATGACACTGACGGGTAGGCCTGAACAAACCAATTTCATATATGCAGTTCGTCAGTGGTCTCCCAGAGAAGACATCTCTTGATATTTGGAGGGCTGTGTTTGTGCAAATAATGCCGCCGTCTCTTAAAATAGCAAGCTCATTGACAAAAAATTCCGATTGCTGCCGATCGACCGAATTGGAATGAAACAAATGGGTGGAAAGACCACTAAATTACCCGTACTACGATGCACGGAATGCGAAATCACTAAAAATAAATTTACTATTATCATTGTCTTTCTAAACTAAGATATATAACATTGAATTATTTGGCTAATTCGAATCAGTATAGAAATATATAAAAACGCATACAAATCTGACTACCGTCAGTCAAGTCAATAACAATAGTTATGTACAAGAACCAATCACTATTGCAAATCTCATCATCAGCTATCGCCCAGACGTCTCGTGCTGCAATATGATGTGAGTTTCGAATTCTAAAATAGATTTCATGTGAGATTAACTAGTCAACGGAAAACCCAGCGCACGTCCGTAAAAACCCCCTCTAGGGAGAGCTCGTTTATTGGTGAAGATGTGGTCGTGAGAACGCGCGGCGTACCGATTCTTTCTTTACTTTGCATTGAGAATACCGGAGGGCGTTCATGTGTTCAACATAGTTTGTTGCACTGATTAGCGGTTATAATTATATCGAGTAACTTAACACCATATGTAGCGGGAATTGATTCTAATAATATCATACTTAAAATAGCGTGTGATCACATATTAAAAGTTCCGTAATTATTGAGAAGAATTGGGGGTTACATAAAAGCCTTTCACAATTACAATTACGATCAATCCCGCTCCAACGTTTCACAATTCATTATACATCGGTGCTCTAGTTTATATATACGTAAGTAAATCTGCAGTATATTGCCAACTATTCTATTCAACGCAGCACATTTCTCACTTTTGATTTAATATGCAGATATATTAAATTCGAGCCCGAGTATACAAGCACCCAACCAGCCGTGGGTTTATTCGTCCAAAAAAGTGAAACAGCTATCAACGGGGCGATTATGTCAGATGATGAAACTAGCAATTGTTTACAAGTGAAAAAATTCTCCTTTTTTTTACAATACTACCATTGTGCATTTCCCAAACCGAATTTTTGCAATAACCTGATTAGTCATTTATTAATGATCAAAATCGAATAATATACTTTCGTCACATAATAACTGTTGGATGCACAATAACTGCCATTGTTATTATTTCCGTATGATATCTGCGGTAGTCGGAATACGAAGACCGACAAGCTTCTTACATTCGATCCGCATTCGCTCGAAAGGGGCTGATTCTTAAACATTACCATTTCCGTTACTTTCTGACAGTATCATCGTAGATTAAAAATTTCCTAAAAAAGAAAACCAGTCAATAGCCGGGTATATCGTAAAACCAAACACCCAAGATATTGTCCTGACAATGTCCATCAGAGTTCATTTCTATAGACCCTAAGAACTCTTTTTTCTCATTATTTACAACCGCACCAAAGTATTAATACGAAGAAATTTGTCAACAATATATATGGAACAGAACGTATACATGTTAATTCAGGCCGTTATAAAGTTTTCCATGATTTAGAAATACTAACACTACGGTTTAATTAAGGTTTTGTCCAACAAACCGTCAAGCGAGTTTTCTTTTACAATGAGTTTTTAAATTTATATTGGACTAAGCATTACAAGCTGGATAAGGTCTTTGGTTTCGGTTGTTGCCGATAAAAACATGTTTTCTTACAGCGTCAACACTGCGGACGGTAAACACCTCATTTATGGTGAAGAATTAGACCTTACATTGGACATGTATTGTCGTGTTCTAACCAACGATTGTCTGCACAAATAGTTTACCGTATTAACGGTACAGCAATAACAAACGTAACGGTGAGTCCAAGCTTTCAAGTTCACAAGCCAATAAAGGTTGCAACGATATTTTTGATAACCGTCTTGTGATTAGAAAGTGAATCGCTGTATAATGATAATCCGTTCTATTAAACAGGCCCGAGAAGCAATTGCTAAACTTTCTGAAAAGACTTTTTTTGTTAATAATTAACATTATTTTTCAATCGATAGTTCAAAAGTTGTTGCTGCTTACAATCATATTATTTATTCGTAATTCATACAAGCTTATACAACATCGGTCTCTTAATTTTTTAAATTAAATTTATTTACTCATAATTAAAGGTAAGTTATTATTACAATAAAAACAAAAAATACATGTTTAGGGGGAAAAAAGGTTCGGATTTATACTAATATTTCTATATTATTTCATAGGGATTCGCTTGTTCAAAGAACCTACGATGAGGTAATTATCTTCTTTAACGTTTATCGAACACAAATCGACTTGATAATATCGTTGTCTATACGCTGCTCCTCTAGTTGCTCGCCGCAAACAGTTTCTATCTATATCGTATCCGTTATTGTATGAGAGAACAGTTTCTTATCAAAGAAAAAATTGTCAAGCCCGGACGGTTTCATTTCACACACGTAAATAATGCCTCACTACCCATTTGATTCCGCTAAGCGGAATAAGATTCAAACCCATAATCCGCGTAATTTATCGGCTCAGCAGCAATTATGTTATCGTTACGAATGTCATTGTAGAATTCACATTGATAAAAGAAAGGAGAATAATTTGGTGAAAACATGGAAAAATCGGAAAAGTCGGAAAACAAGTTTGGAAAGTCAAGGAAAGTACTCGGTAAGATAGACTGCTGTTCGTCGTTAATTTCCGAATAATCTTCATTCCTCATAACGCCAATATGGTCACCTTCGCTCAGGTTGTTTGATTTTTTTGCCTTCTTAGACGTACTCGCATTACTGCTACCATTTTTCACAAATTTATCCTTGTCCATATATTTAAATATAAAACTATCACCATTCTTGAATTTCCTCGGATTGTAGACATATTCCGGATACATAGCTTTGTGCTTGTATGAAGCTAATTTCGAGAGAACTTTGAAATACTCTTTGACCTCTTTCGGTTGATTTTTCCAACTTTTTGCAGCTTTTTGGGAAATTTCGTTGAGAGCACTTGACTTGCCAGGACTTCCAGAGAGTACTTGGCTTTGAAAATTTCGTCTAAATAAGATCCAACCATTTTGAGGTCTAGGCGGCAAGTTTCTTTTGTTGCTGTTGTTGCGTCGCCTGCGTATGGGATTGAGAATACTATCGTATGAAGTGGCTAGAGTGTATGGTGGGTTGTGCAAAAGTTTCTGTTCGTTTTGTGTAAGATTGTTAATAAAACATGTTGCTGGACAAGTAGAATGAGTCGCTGTACATAGTTCCGTGTGAGAATAAACTTGACGTAAAATTGGTTCTTCGTTAATTGGGTTTGAGTTCATGTTCTTGCAATATTTTTTAGTTGAAGGAGAAAGCCTTGTTTATATCTATATTATTTGGTTGCACACTGCATTCTAAGCAACGTGACTTAAACCAATCCAAATAAAGAACGCGAAAAGTTCTAATTGAACAAACATTGACTGACTTTGCTTTTTGCTAGGAACATTGTTCTAACTATTATTATGGAAAATATAAATGAGATAAGTGTGTATATATATATGACAGTTACTAAGCAGCAATTTACCCCGGATTATACTCCGATAACTGGTTATACCAATTTTAAATTATTGCAATTTTTGGACTGTTGCCGTAATATGTTTATTGATTGCATCTAACAGTTATAAAATTAAGACTTTTTTGTCATAAGACTGATTATAATATGACTTGTTATAAACAAACAAGCCAGTTTTACAGGTCAACGCTCTTACAACATAACTCAAGACTGTATACGGTTACAGAATCTAACTTTAATGAAGTAAAAATTATTTTTAAAAAAACTGAACGGCGCGGCATAGACGATAGACAAAAGACATATTATACTATCTGGTAAAGCATTATCCCAAAATTATAACCAATAATTTGTCTGATAAAAATTACTTGCGTTGTCATAAAAAGCAAACACGCTACAATTACGTTTTCTGCTAACAATTCAAATTCATGCAACCGGCGATCTCACCTGTCAAACTCACTGTCAAAAACTCTTAGCCTAATATACATAACACAGCGGTGATTATAATTGTCAATTAACTAATCTGTAATGTCATTTCGCCACATTACAAGAGTCGTCCCTTGCTATAACGAAATCCGCCAAGCCGTAAACGATTCTTTTAAAGTACGCAATATAGTTATTATTATGTCGATCTGCAACACCAAACCCTCGTGGCGCAAAATCACGCAGTAGCACAGTTGGGCACATGATTTCTTCATCCAGCAGTTATGACTTTGAAGCTGAATAGTAAACTCGTACCAGGAGAAGAAGACATTACAAACTACCACTGTATTTAATACGAATTGTATTGCACAGTTATAACATTCACCACAGAATTCTGTACAGTTCTTTGTAGACGATGAAACATTAATTAAATGAGTACGATATGTCCATTGTCGGTATCCATAATAAAACGCAAGCCGGTAGTGGTTAACAAGAAAGATATGGTATGAATTGAACCGATTCTCAAGCATTCTACTGTACATAATTGCTTTCTGCTAAGTAAATGTACGTTCAAACGCTACAGAATTCGGTACGATTCTTCTCTGTAGACCATGGAAAATCCACCGAGAACTTCCACTGCCGATGACTTGTAATGTGGTATGTGTAAGCCGGTAACCTCTGTTTTAGGAACCGAATGGAACAACAAGACAAGACAAGACAATACAAGACTTTCCGACAAGAAAGGAGCATGAGTTAAAGTCAAATGCCAAGCATCTACTGCATAATATTGTTTACTGCTGCGTAAAGCCCATTCAAGAGCTACAGAATTTGGCAGACTGGGAAAATTCAGCGAACAAATCACAATAATAATTTGGATTTGGTAAACCCTGATATTACTCAGATACGTTGACACAAGCAGGCGTCTGTATTTAATATTACTAGTAACGTCTTAGTTGGGAATCTCTCCCCTTATTCTTAGAAGACAATACCTCCCGCCCGGTTTTTTTGAACAGTAGTTGCTAAAGAGAATGGCATTGTGACAAGCGTCGGTTTTTGAAGAAATAAACCAAATACACAGTGAACCTGGATATAACGAAGTTTGGATATAACGAAAACCTGGATATAGCGATGCTTTTTTTTTTTTGATGTTTCGAATTTTGTCTAGTAAAATTTCCTGGATATAACGAATCCCTCGATATAACGAAAAAAATTGTCTGCACGGTCTCCTTCGTTCTATCCGGTTTCACTGTGTACCCTGAGTATCTAATCGTGATTTAAGCAAAAATACTCTCCCTTACACATAAATTTGAGATCTTCGATAGTAACAGAAAGTGGCATGATATATAACCCGATCTTTAAAATCAAGTTAAAATAACAATACTATCAATATTGCATTACTTGTGTCATACAGTTATCTCACAATAATTGGTAATAAGTTATAAACAAACAAATAAATCAACGAAAATGATCATTAATCATAAAGCGCGGACCAACTACTAATACTAACGATAAAGTTAATATCCAGAATGACGTAATCTTTATGTAACACGAAAAAATTTTGTGTCAGATATGATAGAGAAAATCATGTACGAATTTGGGATTACAAACGAGAGGCGATTGTACTTTTATTATGCATAATTTCATATGATCGATAGAACAGGGAAAAATTGAATGAATTGGTTATTAACCACCTATTGGCTATTGACCAATACGTGTAAACATGCATGTGACTAAATTGTGCAGTCGTAGAACCAGGTTCGCCCGCTTATTCAACGCAATTAAAGAGAACGCCTCTAGACAGAGCCAACTAAGAATTTGCGCAGCTACTTTCAATCTTAAGCTGTATACTGCATGTATCGCATATCCCAACAATCGATGTTCATTTATGTACAGTGGAATGTGCACGAACTTTAACAAATATTTATTGTCACATGTCCATCAGCTGGTTTTTCACGTTGCTCACCAGCATTCTTCAAATAGTCTTTATGCAATAGTTAATGTCTTTGATCAATGGTTCCCCCCCACTTTCCCCATCTTCCCCACGCTCTGTCGGTGTGATTGCATATAGTCATTCGATTGGTGCATTAAAAACTTATCTAACATGCGTTCAAACAATCACCTTTATTGTTCCCATCATGCAGCAGTCGACAGCCGGATGAATGCTTACAATTCGATTTTTTACTAATATGATCGGATGTAGTATCCCTGCTTAATGCTGTGCAACTCTGATCAAGTGGAGCGTTCTCCCTTGTTACAAATAAGCCAGACCCTTTTGCCCACATGCGATTATGTGACAATCGGCAATAGTTGAACCGGGTATTCATTTCCATATATCATTGAGATGTACAAAATCGCTCTTCACAGACAATACAATTTTTTGTTCATTATATTTTTGTTTACCGTTTGTCAGGTCATATGCGGTCATATTACATCATGCTTTGCATCGTAAAGAGTTTTCATGCATCTTCTTTCTGCAAATTGAATCACATACTTCCGTAATCTATCGAACAATATATTGATTTAATTCGTAACTTGGCGGCGGCGGTAAGGGGGGGAGGTATTATTGCTCAATAACGAATAGACAAAGCATTTGTTCGGGTCATTTGATGAAAAGTATTTCTCAATGGTGGGGAGGGGGCGCAGAATGGAAATACATTGAAATATTAATATTAATATACAAAGAAAGGGCATGCATGATATCATAGCTGCATACATAATTCATACCATGTTCGCGAATATCACATCCGATCCGGTAACACCAACGCATAGTCCAATACGCCAATAATTTATAATTCGGTAAGGTATGCATAAGATGTCATGTGGGAACCTCACGCAGGGGAAATATTTATAAATATTACTAATATTAATACAATTAGGACAATTTCAATTGATTATAAATGATAATTTACGGCAAAAAGACTATAAATGGCTTTAATAAAGGTTGTGCGCTACTAATTTTAGATATATTGGTATAAGGAATTAAGTATGACTATCAACTATTCAAATTGGCTATCAGCGTATTGAATTTCGTGACTGAATTATTGGTTATAGAAAACGTGTCAGAAAATTATGCTTTTAACATACCAAAATTTACAAAGAGCATAAGGAAATATAATCGCCCAACGGTGAATCGAATAGAGCGATATTATTTGCCTATTATGTAACTTAATCCATAACTGTTAAACGTGTATTAGTATTTTTATTATGTTATTAAGTTTTCAAACCATTTGACAACTAACAAGTAGTAAAACTTATACTATCGAATTGCTTGACCACAATTTCAATACAAGTTCAGAGATAATGTTTAAATGAATAAAAGAACTTGGAGTAAGAATAGCAGCTCATATACCCTTCGAATTTATCTTTCATGTTCAATGACAAGTAATAATCTATAACCGTGTAGTACATATCAACAGAGCAAGAGTAACGTCTTAAACACTTGTTGTCGTAAAGATATCTGCAAAGTATTCTGTATCTTATTGATTTTGACAAAGAGACGTCGTTATTATTTGTTCAAGTGCATCTTGTAACCAGAATGGAATAACACATGTGTCTGACGTCTACAGCAAACAAACTAAAATTCCGCACACAAATATATTCGTATAACGTCAGTCAATGGTGCAAATTAGACAGTTATCACACAGACCTAGACGGTGAAATATAAACTATCTTTTGCATAATGCGTTATGCTGGACAGAAACCGTTCACTTGCCCGACAGTCATTTGCCGACAGTTTATTTTCCCTACAGATATTTACCAGCATTATTTAAAAGTTATCCTTTTGGGGGTAGTTTTTTGTCGAGTAAATAAATTGGACCCGCTGGAACCATTATTGCAAACCATTTGTCAATTGCCTATGGCAAAGCAGTCTTAATATCGATCTGTCTCATAAAATAAACGAGACAACAGCATATTATCTATTCAAGTTGCTCTTTGTAAATATAAAATTTTTTAAACGAAGATGCAAGTCATTATCCTAATATTCGTAGACACCCAATTAAAATATTAAGCAATTATATATACAGGTCATTATTATTATGCAAATTTTAAAAATTTTGTAAAATTTTAGATAATTTTTTTTTTTTAAAATTTGGTCGAACAAAGAATAGGAGTTATTTATAAATTAGCTGTTAGAATTTAGGGTAATGCAAAGATACGTTGGTGGGACTTACTAGAGTTAGAGCCAGCTTTGATGCGTATGCACGTTTACGTTATGCAAATAGCTAAGGTACGCGGGCTTCTTTATGCAAATGGACAGATTATGCAAATGTAAGTTATGCAAATAGACAGGTGCGACTGTAGTGTTCTTCATCATAAAATGATAGCAATAAAGCAAAAGTGTGACTGTACAAAAAGTTTTATTATGTCATGCGATTGTGATCTTTGACTATTTATTTACTATATTAAGTAACAAACATGGTGGACCAGAGTTGAGTATTGATCATTGAAGAAATCAGTAATGGATTGGTGTTTTTTATTAGGAAACTTAACAAGCAACTTACGATGTATAATCGCGCAGGATCTGTTACAAAAATAAATGGGTAAACACAAATTTAAGTCACGTAAAGTGATCGTAAAGGGTTGATTTACTATCAAAAAAGCCTCTCAACAAGTGTGATAGTGATAATGTAACTCTGGGGGTGGTTTTACTATTGCCCGTTCCGCAAAAATTTGTGATTGTAGGGAATTGTGACTGTAAGTGAAGGAGGTCTGACTGTATTATGTCAAAGAGGTAAGATTGATCTACTGTTGTATTTTTATAAATCGGATATCAGGCTTGAAGTAAATTTTGCAAAAAATAGTGAGAATGCGGAATAATCTATTATCATTTATTAGCTGTAATGTCCCGAATCTTGCGTTTAAAAATGCTTTCTGGGACCCCTCCCATTATTGATGAAGCTCCGAACGTCAATGGTTATGCTGTAGTGGTACCCGATACGGTTGTTGGTGACAACTTTGTTAAGGAAATTTACTTTAACGAAGCCACGTGATTTTCGTAAATATGATATCCAATAAAAATTTTGATTTACACACGATGCGTAATTTCATAAAGATTAAACGTAATCGTAAATTCATGTCTGTTTTTTTTTCTGCATAATACTTTCTCAATTTGAGAAAAATAACTCTTTCGTTCCCGTTTCAAAATTTTCCGAGCTGAGTCGTCCTCAAATGCCAACCATCCGTCTTTCGCTTTCAAAATTTCACTAACAATGCCATGCATTTCAATATTTTTAAGCGTAAATACTCTCTTTCTTCTGACAGTTTTTTTTGAGCAATTTTAGGCGGGTATTCGCGTTTTTTTTTTGACATGGATGTTTTTTTATCTTTAATGTGAGGATGCTTTTTGGAATGCGTCTTTGATGTTATTTGACAATGGACAAGCGTATAATAGAAGAAACAATATAACGAAACAAGAGATAGTAACTGAGAAAAGACACAATGATGTGAAAGCTTTAGATCTTTATTGATGATAAATTAAAATATTAAATTCAAACTTTGTGATGCAAATAAATTACAACATATCAAATATAAATATACGTTTATCCGAAATAATTTTGTTAAAAGCGAACTGGTTTCATAGAAATACTTCGTTATAAGCCATCTTTGTTCAAGTGAGAGTAAATTTTACTGTGTATGTACAATTGACTTTTTTATTAAACACTGACATAACGACTTTCATTATAATAAAAAATTGGAATCGCGTTGCGGGTTCTAACAAAAACGTTGATAGTCTGTTCCTGGCAAATTGTTTATTATCCTAACGTACAGTAATTTTGTAAATGACCGCTTTGTGATTAGAAAATAAAGCGTTGTGTAATAATAATTCGTTCTCCTTCTGTTGATAATTTTTATTCTTTTTAATTAGTAGTTAAGTTGTTAGTGCTTACGGCCATACTTTTTATTCTTAATTCGTACAAAGTCGGTCTTCTAATTTTAATCTTTTTTTTATTACTGAATTTGTTGTACATTATAATTATAGGGAGGTTGATATTAAAAAGATACTTGTTTACGAAAAAGAAAAATTAACTCTATAAAATCTAACATATTTGCTTAACATACAGAATTGTATTGTGATGTCTGCTACAAAACATATGACGAGGTAATTATTTTAAACGTTTGTTTAACACAAAATCGACTTGATAATGTCGTTATATATATACACCATCCTCTAATTTCTCGCTGCAAACGGTTTTCTGCATCCGAGTATGCTATGTTACTCATGGAAGAGCAGTTTATACAATTAGCTGTCAAATCTGCCAACCTGTTTCATCACACACGTAAATAATGTCTCCAAACTCATAATCCATATAACCAATCTGCTCGTTATCAGTTATGTCATTGTTATTAAGATTATAATAGAATTGACATTGGGGAAAGGAAGGAGAAGTGTGAATAAAATTTGGAAAAAACATGAAAACTTCCGGAATGTCGATGATAGGACTCGGATTTTGTAAAATAGATTGCTCGTCATTTTTGGGACAATCTTCATTACTGATAACGCTACTGTAATCAACAGTGTTCGAACTGCTTGCCTTCGCCTTATTAAATAAGCTTGCTTTACTGTTGCGACTTTTCACAATTTTGTCCTTGTTTATATGCTTAAATATAAAGTTTTCACCATTCTTGAATTTTTTCGGGTTATAGACGTATTCCGGATACATAGCCTTGTGTTTGTATGAAGCTAGTTTCGAGAGAACGTTAAAATATTGTTTAACTTTTTCTGGTTGAATTTTCCAACTTTCGGCGGCTGTCTTGGAAATTTTGTTGAGAGTATGCAGCTCGTTAGGACGTTGAGAGCGTACTCGGCATTCAAAATCGCGTCTAAACAGCAGCCATGCATTTTGGGGTCTTGGGGGCGAGCTTTTGTTGCTGCTTTTGCGTCGTTTGCGTATGGGACTGAAAATGCTGTCGTAAGACATAGTGAGAGCGTAGGGGGGGTTGTGAAAAATTTCCAGTTCGGTTGGTGTGAGATTATTAACAAAACACGTTGCCGGGCAAGTAGAGTTGGTTGTTGTACATGGTTCGGTGTGAAAACGCACTTGACGCATAATTGAATTCTGACAAATTGAATTTGAAAAACTCATATTATTTTTTCATCGGTCAGTGAAGGAGAAAGTGCTTTTATAGCCTATACTTGTCATACATTGTATTTCTACTCAGAACTGTATGAGAATGCGAACATTCTAATTTTACCCGCTCTGTAATCCACATTTGTTACACGAGTATTTTTACACTGGGAACATCGTTCTTATCGTTATTGTATAAGCCACCAATAATAGAAGTGTTTTTTCTTTACAATAGCTTCGAAAATTTCACCCGCAGTAATTTTCATGAATAGATTCAGTTAATTTGAATTTACTCCGCCACGGAATTATACACTGCTTATACAATGTTTATCACTCATTCATATAACTGCATTTTAAGAAAACTTCAGGTGTTAAATTGCCACGACGAATATAATTGGTTGAATTATATTGTTCGAGAAAAGATAATTTTATATAATAGTTGCATTTAATGATTATAATTTAGACTTTTTTGTCACAAAACTGAGCATTAAAACTTCATGGACAAACAAATTTGCTAGTTTTACAGGTCGACACTTTTACAACGTGGACTCACCTGTTTCGTATGACTCTCTAAATGACATTTACGCAAAAATGCAAATTGCGCAGTAAGACTCAGCCCATTGCTTTTCTGGTTAATCTTGAGTTTAATATTTGGGCAAGTAATTAATTAAATATCTCATATAAATGAAGTAAAAAAGAATACCTGCAAAAAAAATCAGAAAACTGAGCATGTGTACTACATAGATTATAAACAATAAAGGTTTCCTAAAATTATAACAAACTAGAATTAGATGACGAAAGGTAATATTTTGCTTTTAAATCAAATTCAAAACTTTGTAATGTAAGCTTGATAAATGTTTGATAATATACCAACTTGTAAAGGCTACCAATAGTTATTTCATTCATATTCCGTAAAAAGCAAACACTAACCGTTATAGTTTTCGGGGGGGACAAGTTCCTAAAAAGCAGTGCAATTTATGTGAAAAAAAAAAAAGCCAATTTTATTATTTACGGTATCAATTATTAATCAATCAATCAGAATGGGTAATATTGACAATATGCATGTTCTGTCTTGATTCAACAATACAATGGAGGTACAATTACTAATAGAATCGAATCGCCAATCAACTTTCGTCGGCGGTAATCCATTCGCTACGCTACAAGGGTACGTCTCTATACGAAATCCGTCAAGCGCACTGATTCTTTTTAAAATTACGCAATATAGATCTATTCTACTATTATGATGACATGTATTGTTTTACACAGTCCTATTATGTCAGTGTCGTTGTTCCTTTTTTATGCATTCACAACATAAACACTGAAGATCTTATCGTTATTGAGAATGACCCTAATTTATCGTCACTTGGCGCATTCAATATAATTTGGCTTTTTTCGGAGTCTGAATGGTTCAAGTTCGATTAGAATAGTAAATCGTACAAGGAAAGGGAGAGAGAGATTGCAATTACAGTGTGTTTAAAATTCCAACGATTCTCAATATAATATTCTTTTACAGACAAATAGCATAGCATGGTGGCACCGCCGGATGCTTGTTCATTCTACAGAATTCGGTATGGTTCTTCTCCGTAGACTATGGAACATTCCATCGATCCATTGTCGCCAAGCTATGATGACATGTAAACCGGTAGGCTCTGTTTCAGGAATTGAGTGAGAAAGAACTTTGCGGCAAGTAAAGAAGATTTACTGCGTATTTTTCCTTATTACTGAATCATTGTGCATTCCCGCAGATGGGTGTTCGGCCGATCAGTCACATCATTGCACAGTACTAAACTCATGTAAACCAGGCCCAGGAATATGTATATGCTGCGCGAGGAAGAATTTAAAACTTAATATTACTCGCAACGCCTTATTTGAAGGATTCTCAGATGACACTACCTTTTCGACTGGTTTTTTGAATATGATTTGCTAATACATGTTGCATTGCTTATCGTCATTATTATAGACGTTCGGCTGAAGGAATTCTGTAATTATGAAAGCTCTTCGTAATAAAAATAATGGCTGTGGTTTACTCTATTTTCGTTAAAGCAAATTATAAGACGTTTGGATAAAATCAAAGACTTTTACGAAATTGTTTACATTTTTTTACCGTCATAAAACAATTTTTGAAGTGTATTTGCACTCTTGAAGAACAATATTCCGGTAAACATGTATTATAACTATCTTTGTTATCGTACAAGTTTTTTCGTTAATCGGAGATGGGATAAACAAGAATAACAGCCAATGCTAAAGGATTGTCTCATTTCCAGAGAATTTAATCCAAATACCTTTCCATTGGTGCTGTGATTGGTGTGGATGATACATAATGATCTACTGTACTAACAATAAGGAGTAACAGAGAAATGATAGATGATTAGCGGCTTCAACAGTAAGCCCATCTCTCCACCTAGGACCAAGTTGGATGCCGGTAGTCTGCACATCACACGATCAGGTAAGGCAGCTGTTTTCGCAGTTAATACAGTTTGAAAAACTTGTACGGTTAATCACATATAATTTACGCGATTATATACGCAATCATATATTCGGGCGGCGTTGAATTTCTCCGTTGCCAATCTAAACAGTAACAAAATTTTATACCGTTTCAACCTTTGTACTCTAAAGTCATTGTAGACGTTTGATACGACTAAGCCGCTTGCACCTGTAATCTTGCTTCACATGCAGTAAAGACCGAGGATCGAAATAATTCAAGTATAGCTGCCGATAAACTACTCGATAAAGAGCAAGGATTAGAACGCTCAATTTTTCAATTTCACAATCATATAGGGAAGAGAAAGTCTTTATTTTGTAGAAGGGGTTAAGTGTATCAAGAATGAAGACATGCGTCTACAGGAAAAGAAAAACTTTTCATCTGGGAAACGAACGTCGCTTTACTTTATACAAATTGGGATCTCGTAAACGTTTGGTGTCCGGTCAGAAAAAATAGCATGTCATCGACTGAATAGTGTCCAAGTACAGGAATGAGGCGGGACGAGGGAATGATTTGTCAAGAATCGGTCGAGCTAGATATCTAAAACATCAGGCAATGCTTACCCTCACTCACTCTGAGGAATCGAATTATGTTACCTTGCGATGTATTTTAAGCTAAAACAGTATCGTTGAAAATAAAACAAGTCAAGCAATACTTAATAACTGATGCAGAAATTTTGGAAGTACTACCCTCTTTGGAGTAAAATACAATTATTTTAGTTTTGATATTATCGTCTGCAATCAAAGAAGAGTTAAGGAAGATTCGGGAATAAGACCCCAACCTCTCGATTAGACATTCCGTATAACTCATCGATGACATGAAAAAGATAAAGACCGAATATCCGGAATTTGCCAGTCAATCCTTGAGGTTGGCTTTGCGTGGGCGTCCAGAACGAGGCGCATTCTTCAATCCAACCGTATGTAGTACGCTTAGGTAGGGCTTTCTCGCCTTCAGCGACTATCAACTATATAGATGTCGTCAGTTCCTTTGCCGTTCTTCCAGCACGTCCGAGCGTAGTATTTTTGATTTTCATAAGTAGAATGTTGCATCGTTCTTAATATTAAGCTGTTCAAATCGGACATTTAATGTTGTACACACTTGCGTAGCTTTTGGGATATATGCATTGGGCATTGGGTAAATACCAAAGTGGCAACCATTCAGTCTGTTACTGCTCACATCATTGATAACTTTCACAAGAAAGGATATGACCTTTGATTTTCTTTCAAGCTGAGGGTTGAGAGTCGAAGGTTCGGGATGGAAAATGTGGTGAACATCGCTGGTAGTTTCCGTCGTAATTAATTGTATAGCCAAGACGATTTATTTATAAATTAAGAATTTAATGGATTATTCCATCGGAACACATGTCACACGTGATTACGATAATCTTCCGTTGCGTTATAAATTACTCTTCTATTAATAACATGCTAAAAATACACCAACTGACAAAGGTCATTTTGCATTATTCATTTTTAACTAAATTAGGAAGCGTTCAACTTCAGGATGGGAAGCAGGGGTAACTTGATTCATCGAATAATACGAGAAAACTATTATTATTATTAATATTACAAACGTATGACAATTCCCAACTCCTTGTTAAAGTGGGGCATGTTCAGAAAATAGTCTTCAAATGCATAAATATTGTTAATAAAGGTGCAGTATGTTAAAATATGTTGATTAAAACATTCGACTGGCCACGTTTCATTGACAAAATATGAAAACTACATCAGATGTGTTGTCGGGGTTGGAAACTATTCCATTCTCTTCAGAGTTTCGGTCCTTGTATTAATATAACTGTTGAGCACAAAGGTGTGCATACAAAATCTTTATTGTTTGTCGCACGATAATTATATTATAAATGCCAAAAGACGGCAGTAGAGACGGAATCCCTCTCCTCTTCTCTTAAAAAGATTATAATAATGATCAACGGGATCAGTACGCAAAAGAAGAATTTGGGCTTGTTATTGTTTTTGATGTTGGTAGGCACAAACTTAACTTGATGTAGATCATATCCGCGGATCAATAATAACCCGAAATGGGTTTACGTTTAGATGACCACAACAGGCGCTCAACTGCTAACCGGTAGTGTCGCATTGCCAGTTGGAGATACGTGGTAAGAACAGATTGTGTTTTTCACAAGTCGGTCTTTTCATTCTATGGTAATAATTATTATCGTTGATCTCTCTCAATTACATCAAACAAAGGTACTTGTGCTCTCTACAGCCAACAAATAGGATTGGTAATTCCCCCAAAAGACCTTTTCATTAAAGTTTGCTCTTTTCACCATATAGCCCGTCACATACTCACATCACTTTTTTTTTCCTAGCCTATGTCGTCACATACACAACTGTCCCTACAACCTCAACAACGGGATTTGGTACAATTGTGCCGTTTGTCAAGATCAGTCCCAATTTGACTGCATCGTCAACAGGTCTTATCAGCGCTGTTTTGTCAAGGGCTGAACTTACCAAGTATGTGAATGGCCAATTTAATGAATACATAGCTCTCTATTCGTGGTAAGTAAGACGTTCTTTGAGGTTGTGGGGAGGAAATCTGTACATGTACGCTATATATGTATACACAAAATAACCATGTTCTTTACTCTTGAAAAGCTGCTGTGACGTGCGTGTGATTGTGTGTGCCATAGGCAGTGATAAACCCCCAATGGTTACGATGGATACTTACTGTCTTACCGTAAGAAACCCTAATGCTTTTACGTCCTATGCCAACATCGAGATCTCGTTTGATCGTCAAGTTGAGTCTACCACATCACCATCTCCGACGCCAACTACATCAACATCACAATCAACATCACAATCAACATCGACAACACCTCCAACTATCCCTACAATCGTAATTTCCGCTGGACGTAAGAAATTTGAATGGAACTGTACGAACGTCCTTCTGCTTGGGTTAGGCTGGATCATTTGGAAATCAATTTTATTATTGTAAAGATTCTTCGAAAGGCGAATTGATAATATCGAGAATTACATGTATGTGCTGAACAATGGTAGTGTCGAGTCATTTCCCTGCTGGACAAAGTTGGGGTTTGTCTCTCTTAATTTAAGTTATAATATAATGTTTACACAGCTTTCCAAAAGAGCCCTCTTTGCAAATAAAATGCCCAGTTCAAATATAATTGCGGTAAAAAAAAAAAGAGACATTTATTTGTCTTTTAGAGGATTTGTATTGTAAATACACTAATATGACATGGCTATCGAATAAATTCTTTCCCCTATGCATCATTACACGATTTATATATATAATATAATCTATATATATTTAAATGTACGTACTTAGGACAAATGTGAACCAACGCTATCGCCCCGACCTTTCGACGATCGTCGAACAAACTCCAACTCAGCCTTTACAGCGCTCAGTTCTGTTTGTGCAGAGCGCAACTTGAATTCTAGCATCGATTTCCTTGCATTCTCTCGCAGCAGTGTTTCGTTGGCTGTTTCTAAACGTGCGTTTTCCAATAGTAATTGTTCTTTGCTTTTATTAGATTCGTCTTCCTTGAGTTTATCATTTTCATCTCTAAGTGCTTCAATCTCCTTATTCAATTCATTGTATTTCTTCTCTAGGTCCTGCCAATCTATTGTCTTTGCATTAAGTGACAACTCTAATCCGCTGCTCTTTTTCTTCTCATTCTCAATCTCGTTCTCCAATTCACTTCCTTTCTTAACAAGCTCATCAATCTTAACCATGTATTCTGCTATTTCCGGCGCAGGCGTTTCGTTCTTGACTTGCCCGGTTGCTTGTCTAGCCTCTGTATTCTCAAGGCGATTTTTAAGACTAGTATTCTCCGCATTTTCTTTTTCGAGACGGGTCTTTAGATCGGTGTTTTCAGAGTTGATCTTTTCATGCCGATTTTTAAGAGCTTCATAAGCCTTGTATAATTTCTCAAAGTTCTTGACTTTATTCTCAGCAGCAGTAGCTCGTTTTTCTAATTCCTCAACTTTTTTCATCGCCTCATCTCGTTCTTGAACTGCTTTAGCCTTATCTTGACGTGCTTGTTTGAACTGGGGTCCAAACGTCTTCATCTGCTCACGATGATTTCCGTACGCAGTTCGATATTTATCACGCTCCTCGGTCACCGCCTTGAGATCTGTCCTTAGTTTTTCAACTTCCGCTGGATCTGTCACTTTGCCGGTAGCTAACAGACTTTGCAATCGAGCCTTGTACGCATCTTTCTGTTCGTTTGCCACACGCAGTTCCTCCTTGGCAATATTAAGGTCAAGTCGAACAGACTCAATCGCTTGCTCAATACGATGTTTTTCCGCATCTTTCTCTTTGGCTGTCTCACGCACCTCGTTCAGGGTGGTTACTGCATTTTCGTGCTGAACAGTTAACTCGTGTAATTTTCTCTCCGCCTCCGCATATCGCTCGTTTACTGACTGAAGATCAGTTTCTACTTTCACAAACATATTTTCACGATCCTCATTGTACTTTCTCAGCGCTTCATACCGCTCCTGGAGAGAGTCGTACTGAGCTTTGTGTCGCTCGAGCTCCAAATTGAGATCAATAATCCTTTCGTTAGCTGCATCGTGTTCCCGGCGCAAATGGTCAGTTAGCTGTACCAAAACGTTTGGTGTTTCACTTTCAGCTGTCGTGCTGGTTTGAGCATCTTGAAGTGATTTGTGCAGCAACTCAGCTTCTGATTTCAATGCCTGATATTGCTGTTTTAATAATGCCATCTGCTGTTCGAGTGCGACTTTGTTATTGTTCCATCGTTCAGTATCAACACGTGACTGGGCCTGCAGTTGTTCCAATTGTTGTTCCAATTGCGAACACTTGTTGGCTAATTCATGACCCTGCTGCACTGCGCTTGCATGTTCAAGCTGCACCGCCTGCTTGCTCTCCTCCACTGCACGCAATTGATTTTTATATTGTTCAAGCTCTTCCAGAAGTCGTGTCTCTTGTTGTCGAGAATTCTCAAGCGCTTGGTTCATATCCTGTTCTTGCAATGTCCATTTATTACGATCATTATTAAGCTCTTCCGACTTTGCATTCAGTTCCGCCTGCAATCGCTCGACGCTCGACTTTAGAGTATCAGCTTCGGTAATCTTTTGCGACAACTCTGCCGAAACGGTCTCGTATTTGGCTTGCACTTCGTCGCGCTGTTTGCATGCAGCTTCGGCTTGAAGTTCTTTTTCTTTAGCGGTAGCTTGCCATGTTTCAACACTTTGATTTGCCCGCTCAATGTGACCACGCGCTTTGTTGAGACGCTCTTGCAATACAGCAATGTTGCGTCCTTGATCACTTGCTTCATATTGCTGGACCTTGAAGGAATAGTCCGAGATCGTATCTCCCAGCGTCTTGATGGTTTGCTGCAATTCGCTCTTCTCCCGTTGAAGTTCGGTTATAGTCAACTGTGATGCATCAAGCTTTTGTTGAAGTTCAGTTTCTTTTTGTAAGACCTGATTTATCCGCGTTTCTTGTTCATATAATTTCTTGTTCAATCTTTCGGGTTCTTCACGAGCCTTAGCCTTAAGCTCTTCTTGTAGAACGAGAGCGACATCAAGTTTATCAGAAGTAAGACGCAACTTCTCTTCAAGTGACTGACCCTTCGTAGAGAGCTCTTGGTTCTGTTGTTCGAGTGATGCTATCTTGTTATTGGCGATAGTAATATCTGCTTTTGCTTGATCAAGTGCACTTTGCAGATCTTCTCTGCGTGGCGCGCGTTCAAATAAGACGGATTGCAAATTATTGAGCTGTTTATGCAGTTCTTGATTTTCGGTACGCAACAGGTTTTCAGCATCGGTTAGCCGCTTAACAGTGGCCTTGTGTTCGTTAGCGATGGCTTCCATCTCACTAAATCGCTTTTGATGCCACTCAACATCTCGCGTAGACTGCTCGGTTTGAGTCACCAATTGCTTCTTCAAGTGTTCAATCTCAAATTGAAGCATAGGAACACGATTCTTCTCGTCCATAAGCGCATGGACTTTTTGATCCAACTTGTCGCGCTCTGCGATTACATCACGAAGCTGTTGCTTAGTTGTGACATAAGCAATCTTGTAAGTTTGAAGAGATTGAGAAGGAGCTGCTGAGGGTAAAGGTGTTTCAACAGACTGCAGTTCTTGTGATGTAACACCTTGTGGCGATTGCGAACGAAGGGTGCTTAGTTCTGCCTTGAGCCGCTCACATTGTGCTTGAAGCACGGTGTTTTCGTTAATTGCATTCCGAACAGATTGGACCTCATTTTCCAATGTTTTTATACGTTCTAAGAGATTCTCGTTTTCTGATTTCAACTGCAGATTTTTCTCAAATATTGTTTCGAATGCTTCAGAGGTTGTGACTTCTCCCATATGCATTGTTGAAGACGTGCCAGTACCACCTTGACTCTGTATCTGTTGTAATAAGGATAAAGTGGTCTCCACACTTTCCTGCTTCTCGGTCTTTAGTCTTTTCACTTCTCGTGTCAACTCTTCGATCTTTGTTTCATATGTAAAAACTTTATCGTGAGCGAGCCTTAAGGCCTTTTGTACATTGCGCAGCTCTTCATTTAATTGTGTATTATCATTAATAGCTCGTTCCAATTGTTCTTGACGGCTATCCAGAGCGGGCTTGTATGCTTTAAGATCAGCAAGAACCCGTTGTAGCGTCGAATCAAGCTCGGCGGTACGCTGAGAGGATTCGGCTAGTTTCCCTTCCATATTCGAGTAAGCTCGCATAAGGTCAACAACAGTCGAAAATCCAAGTTGTTTCAGAGAATCGTAAGCAGCCGTAGTCGAGGAAATGTTCATACCAAGTACAAGATTCTGGTTAGCCTGATCCAGTTCAGCACGTAAACGCGAATTGACCTCTTTCTCCTGCTCCAAGTCTTTCCGAGATTGTTCGAGTTGCGTCTGTAACTGTACGTGAGAAGCTTCATTAGCTAATTCTTTCTCGGCAACGTCTTGTTTAAGGTGCTCGAGTTCCTTCATCAAATCCTCAAAATCATTACGATCACTCTCTGTCTGCTCTTCGAGACGCTCGTTACGACTTTTGACTCTTGCCAGTTCACTTTCAAGAATAGTATTTTGTCGTTTCAATGACGCCATGTCTTCACTCTGAGCAGCGCTAGTAGCCTTTAGTTCCCGATCCTTTTCGGCCAAATTTGCGCGTATTTGCATTACTTCACGTTCAGCGTCCGTGGCACGTTTACGAATTTCAGCATTCTCTTTTCCTAATTTTTCTAACTCTTCGCATTTCTCTTTGTATGACTGCTGGATCTTGGTCATGAACTCTAATTGACGTTCGCGCTGCGCTTTTTCTTGTTCTAGATTTGTTTTGAAATCTTCAACCTGGCGCTCGGCTTTGTTCTTGCTCAAAAGAGCTTGGGTAATCTCTGCTTCTAACTTTGCTATTCTGCCTTGTGCTTCTGTGCATGTTTCAATGTATTTGGTTTTTTCGCCACTGAGGGTCTCGATTTGGTGATCCTTATCTTGTAGTCTTTTCCGTAGTTCAAGCAAATCTTGATGGTGGTTACGAATCGCTTCCTCGGCTTGCTCGAAACGCAAAGTTACGTCCTTATAAAGTAGTTCCACCTCTGACTTTTCATGAATAGTGGTTTCCATTTGCTGTTCTACTTCATGATACTTTATTGATTGCTCTTTTAGAGCTATTGATAATACTTTTACTTGGTTTTGTAATTCGTCAATTATAACACGAAAAGTGCTATTCATTTCCACCCGCACATCTTCCAACCGGGTGTTGTATTCCGTTCTTGTACTTGACTCGGCCATTTTGCAGCGATTAGACGAAAACGGACACACGTAAAGGAAACTATTAATTTAAACAGAGCGATCGTAAACAAAGGTTTCTAAATCGGGGTTTGCCGAACGGCGAGACGTCCGCCAAACTTGGCTCTTTTTCTAGCAGACTACTTTGAAAAACGCGAAAGGTGGGTCTCGTAGATCGCAGTCTGTTTGTATTTTTGGTAAATCAAAAAAGTCAACATGTCAACAATTAATGAAACGAGACAGTATCACGTTGACAAATTTTTATTGGTTGACACGCGATGGTAAATGTTTCCGATTATTACCCACCTCGAAGTGGGGGGGGGGGGGAAAGAGCATTATCATAATTAGACAAAATATCGATAGGCAAGATAGGCGACAATAGCTACGGCTGGCAGGGCATAAGTGCCGATAGCGCTGCTGCTGAGAACAGGGGAATCGGATTAGTAATCATTAGGAGAATCGTAACGTTGTCTATCAGGCACAATCAAGGAGAAATTTTCAAATATTATATAATACCCTGTTGCTTGTGGCTGGGGAACAACCGTAGGATAGTTTGGAGCGGGCGGCTTTTTCAGAGGTATTTCTCCCTAGTAAATTTAATTTTGTATTAACACCGTAAGCACAACCCATCAACAAAGAACTGCCGAATGTTATCAACAGAGTATTCATTAATTGTTACACTTACTGGCTTCATTTTACCAACAATCA